TGGGCACGCATGTTCATCCACCGCGCCACGGCGTCCCAGTAGGACCCGATCATGTAGCCGTTCTGGAACCTCTCCTCCCGGAGCCGACGATCATCGGGTTTCAGCTGCATGGCTTTCCACGTGGCCCGGATGGCTGGAGGGGCCTGCCTCCCCGGTTTGCGCAGGAAGGCCATGAGATCCCTGAACTTCGGGTCCCTGAAGCGGTTGGACGCCTGGAGCTCGAAGCACAGCGGCGTGTTGCAGAAGAGCTTCATCACGGCCTGGCACTCAGGAGCGAGGTTGATGCCCGCCGCCACTAGTTCCTGCAAGCTGGAGATGAGGGACACTTTGCCTCCCGTCGGCTTCAGCTGCAGGAAGTCCCCCAGATAGATCACGATGGGCATCCAGCCGAAAGCTCCGCCGACCTGGTCGCACTCCCGCTCCTCCGCGCCCCACTCGGCCTTGCGTCCCAGGTAGGACCGGCACGCCGGCATGTTGTACAGGTTGGGCGAGATCATGCTCACCTCCTCCAGGATCAAGCACCTGATCGCCTCACACGTGTCCTGCAACGCTTTGCGCTTGCCCCCCGCGGGTATGCCCTTGTTCCTGAAAGACTGCACTCCTATTCCTCGTGCATACATACGTACGGGGGAGAGCGGGCCTCCTCCTCCTCCTTCTCCCCAGCGGTCTGGAGCTGTTCCCTGAAACCTTGGGTGTGGCGGACGCATGGTGGCGGTGGCATTGGCGCCTTCGATGGAGCCCCCTTATGGGGCCAGGAAGCGTGTGAGGGGTGTGCCGAAATTCGTGTGGGGGACGCATGCGGGCAGTGGCACTGGGGCATTCGGTGGAGCTCCCTATGGGGCCACGAAACGTGTGAGGGGTGTGCCGACATGTGTTGGGGACGCATGCGGGCGGTGGTACTGCGGCCTTCGGTGGAGCTCCCTATGGGGCCAGGAAGCGTGTGAGGGGTGTGCCGACATTCGCGTGGGGGACGCATGCGGGCGGTGGCACTGGGGCCTTCGGTGGAGCTCCCTATGGAGCCACGAAAGGTGTGAGGGGTGTGCCGAACTGGGTGTGGGGGACGCATGCGGGCGGTGGCACTGGGGACTTCGGTGGAGCTCCCTGTGGGGCCACGAAACGTGTGAGGGGTGCCGAAATGGGCGTGGGGGACGCATGCGGGCGGTGGCACTGGGGCCTTCGGTGGAACTCCCTATGGGGCCACAAAACGTGTGAGGGGTGTGCCGAATTGTGTGAGGGTGGGGGACGCATGTGGACGGTGGCAATGGGGCCTTCGGTGGACTCCCTACGGGGCCACGAAACGTGTGAGGGGTGTGCCGCAATCGGTGTGGGGAGCACATGTGGACGGTGGCACTGGGGCCTTCGTTGGAGCTCCCATATGGGGCCACGAAACGTGTTGAGGGGTGTGCGAAATGTGTGTGTGGTGTGTGTGTCGTTTGTTTGTGTGTGTTTGCGTGTGTTGGTTGTGTGTGGTGTGTGTGTGTGTGTGTGTGTGTTGGTGTGTGGGTGTGTGTGTGTTGTGTGTGTGTGTGTGTGTGTGTGTGTGTGTGTTGTGCTGTGTGTGTGTGTGTGTGTGTGATGTGTGTGGGTGTGTGTGTGTGTGTGTGTGTGTGTGTGTGTGTGTGTGTGTGTGTGTGTGTGTGCTGTGTTGTGTGTCTGTGTTGTGTGTGTGTGTGTGTGTGTGTGTGTGTGTGGTTGTGGTGTGTGGTGTGTGCCTGTGTGTTGTGTGGTGCGTGCGTGCGTGCGTGCGTGCGTGCGTGCGTGCGTGCGTGCGGCGTGCGTGAGTGCGTGCGTGCGGGCGTGCGTGCGTGCGTGCGTGTGTGTGTGGTTGTGTGTGTTGTGTGCGGGGGGGGGGGGCGACGCATTGCGTGGCGGTGGCACTGGGCCTTCGGTGGAACTCCCTATGGGGCCACGAAGCGTGTGAGGGGTGTGCCGAAATGGGTGTGGGGGGCGCATGCGGGCGGTGGCACTGGGGCCTTCGGTGGAGCTCCCGATGGGGCCACGAAATTTGTGAGGGGTGTGCCGAAATGTGTGGGGGACGCATGCGGGCGGTGGCACTGGGGCCTTCGGTGGAGCTCCCTATGGAGCCACGAAAGGTGTGAGGGGTGTGCCGAACTGGGTGTGGGGGACGCATGCGGGCGGTGGCACTGGGGACTTCGGTGGAGCTCCCTATGGGGCCACGGAACGTGTGAGGGGTGTGCCGACATGGGTGATGATGCTGGTGAGCTGGTGATGATGACGGTCGTGATGATGATGATGATGCTGATGATGATGATGATGACGATGACGATGACGATGATGATGATGCTGATGATGATGATGATGATGATGATGACGACGCCGATGGTGATGATGATGACGATGATGATAATAATGGGAGGAGAGAGAAGGGGGAGGAGGAGGAGGAGGAGAGGAGGAGAGGAGGAGAGGAACGCGGGGAGACGTCTCTTCAAAACGAGGACCCAACACCACAGGATGGTTGGGAAAACCACTAGTGAGATGCGCCCTCAGGGATGCGAAAGCCCGATTTCGGCGCACCACTCACGCATTCCCTGTCTGACATGGTTGTGCGACGCGTAGAACAACAGGTAACCCCTTCATGACTACGCCACGGCACTGCCATTTCGGTACACCCCTCACGCATTTCCTGCCCCACACTCTACTGGAACAGTTTAAGATACGAATGGTCTGCACTTCGAAGGCCACGACGGGCTCAATTCTAGACACCCCTGGGATTCTTGAACATGTGAAAAGAAGCGATGTGCCTCGAGGTCCTTGGGGGGCGCCAACGTAGCGGTGAGTTGCCCTTCCATGTTGATATGAGCCTCAATTCGGCACACTCCTCACGCACTTCGTGAATGTTAGCGCGCACAGCTGGCCCCCGAGACGGCTCCTTGGAACCTCACTTCGGCACACCTCTCACACACGTCGTGCCCATCGCCAAATCCCTCCTGGGGCGCAGATGCGCCCCAAAGAAACATTGCAACGATTGGTACCGACCCTCGTCGAAGCAGTATCCCTAACACCTTCGGTGGCAACTCATGGGAGCCTCCCATATCTTGTCGGCTCTTGCGAATCTACGCTAGTGGACGCTAGTCGACGCCAAGCGACGCTAGATCAACGCTAGATCGACGCTAATCGACGCTAAATCGCCGCTATCTCATCGACTCCCAGACGCTAGTCGACGCCAAAGACGGAATTCAGAGGGTATTCCAAACTCCCATAATTTGCTACCGAGCGAAGAGCAGTATCCCTCAGATTAGGTCGGGCATGTCCTCCTACAGGCGGGCTTGGGGGAAAAATTAAACACAGCCCAGAAATACTCAAAGATAGCAACACATGCTAGACAAATCGTCCCCAGACTATGTTCTGCCTACTTCTGAACGTCCCTCCTGTAGAGGGACACGCCCGACGTCTCCCTAACATCCGCTGGTTGCAGAATCTGCGTGCAAGCTTCCCCCTAGGGGGGCCCGCGACTCCCGCCCTGCGGGCTCCAAATAACATCAGGTTGGGCAGGTCCCCCTAGAGGCGGATTTTTGGGCGAACAATGAGGTGCACGCCACAGTACACCCCTCCTCCTCCTCCTCTTCCTCCTCCTCCTCATCCTCCTCCTCCTCCTCCTCCTCTTCTTCTGTTTCTTCTTCTTCTTCTTCGTCTTGTTCTTCTTCTTCTTCTTCTTCCTCCTCCTCCTCCTCCTCCTCCTCCTCCTCCTACTCCTCTTCCTCCTCCTCCTCCCCCTCCTCGTGTGGAGGATCAGGCCCGACTTAACAATAACATCGTCGGACATCTGGGGGGCCCGCCGTTGTCTCGACTGGCCTCGGAGGCGGCGGGGGGGGTCTGAGCTGGTGGGGCCCCCAGGAGGGAGATCGACCAGGAGGAGGAGGAGGGGGAGGAGGAGGAGGAGGAGGAGGAGGAGGAGGAGGAGGAGGAGGAGGAGGAGGAGGGGAGGGGAGGAGGAGGAGGGGAGGAGAGGAGGAGGAGGAGGAGGAGGAGGAGGAGGAGGAGGAAGAGAGGGGGAGGAGGAGGAGGGGGAGGAGGAGGAGCGAGGAGGAGGGGGAGGAGGAGAGGGGAGGAAGGAGGAGGAAGGAGGAGGAGGAGGAGGAGGCAGGTGGCGGAGGAGGAGGAGGAGCAGGAGGAGCTGGACCCCGTCGCGCAGGAAGCAGTGAGCAGGACCCCCAGACAAGACGGCATACACATGAGCTTTTGGCGCTCCGCGCGGATTTCGTGGATCTGCGCTGGAACCCCCCCTCGCGCCAGGGGCAGCGCCGGACGGAGCGCGGGGGGGGGGGGGGGAGGGGGGAGGGGAGGGGGGGGGGCCAGCGCAGATCCAACAAAGTCTGCGTGGGGCGCCGAAAGTTTATGTGTATGGCATCTCTTCTCCTTCGAAGAGGGATGAGACCAAATCTGACTACCTGCCAGACCACCCCAACCCAACCCGAAGACCCGAATTTGATCCGAATTTCGGGTTGTGGGGAGACGGGTTCCATGTGTTTTTGTCAATGTTCCCCGACCCTCCCCCCACTGGAAATTGAGGGCCAATCGAGGCCTTCGGGTTGGGTTGGGGTGGTTTGGTGGGTGGTGACCTTCGAGGAGGGACGAAACCAAATCCGCCCAAAATCAAGCCATCGGGCGCAGTTTTCCACCCCGGGTCCATGTCGGGCGGTCCTGGGACCACGTGCGGCCCCCGACGAGGCCGAAGAGGCAGAAGCCTTCTCGAGCCAGGCGCCTCGAAGGCAGAAGCCCCTCTGGAGGAGGAGGGAGGAGGAGGAGGAGGAGGAGGAGGAGGAGGAGGAGGAGAAGGAGGAGGAGGAGGAGAGGGAGGAGGAGGAGGAGCAGGAGGGAGGAGAAGGACGAGGCTGAGGCCGGCCGAGGATGAGGCGGAGAGGAGAGGAGGGGAGGAGGAGAAACGGAGGAGGACGATGAGGAGGAGGCTGGAGGATGGAGGATGGAGGATGGAGGAGGAGGATGGGAGGAGGAGTGTAGGAGGAGGAGGAGGAGGAGGAGGAGGAGGAGGATGGAGGCGGAGGCGGCGGAGGAGGAGGATGGGGAGGAGGGAGGAGGAGGAGGGAGGGAAACCGAAGGTACCGACACCGCTACTCCCCAGACCCCTCCCGGGGTGCGTTCTGACCAGCACCTCGAGACGAATCCAGCGGTGGCGACGAGGGCCTCCCCGGAGGCCCCCAAAAAGGGGGAACCCGGGGAAGGGTATAGAGGCATGGGTACCTTTTCCTCCTGTCACCTCTGGCTGTCCTGCTCGCCAGAGCCGGCGCCGGGCCACCTCGGACCCCACCGCCGGCTCCCAGGCGGGCCCTCCTCCGATCAGCCTTAGGTCGGGCCTGTCCTCCTGCAGGCGGGCGTTGGGCGAATCATAAAGCAGATTCCCCAAAAAACATTCAAAGATGGCTATAAAACAAGTGTTCAACAAATGGTCCCCAGAGCATTGCTTTACTATTTCTGAAGATTCCTCCTGTGGAGGGACACGCCCGACTTAACATCAGCCGCGGGCGCCGTCCTCGCCGAGGGCGCCCTCGAGGACGGCCTCGAGGAGCCCCGAGGAGGCGCACCGCGCAGGGTCCAGCAGCTCCCAGGCGGCGAGCTCGCGCCGCAGGGACTCCTCGTAGACGGACAGGATGCTCTCGGGAGTCACCTCGGGTGGGTCTGGCGAGGGGAGCCCAGAATCGCATCGACAAGTCGGATCGGCGATCGAAATGAATCGAATCGGCGGAAATCGGCAGACAGGTCGGGAAAAGTCCGTCCGCTGGCTCTCAAAAGTTGCTGATTCATCCTCATCAGATTGGTTCCCCATCCTGCCTTCGTGTCTACCGAAGAAGAAAAAACGCCATAAACATAAACTTTTGGCGCTTCGAACGGATTTCTTGGATCTGCGCGGGACCCCCCCCCTCCCTGGCGCGCGGAGCCCGCCAGGGGCGGCGCCAGAGGCGCCGCCAGGGAGGCCCCAGCGCGGATCCAATAATTCCGCGAGGAGCGCCAATAGTTTATGTTCATGGCGTTTTCTGAACATTTTCTAAGTGGAGGGCTCAGGGTGAAACCCATATGGCCTCTTGCACCTCGAGAACCAATCCGTCTTGTGAGTCACCTTCTGCAGAGTAAGCCTCGAAAGTCAAACTCGAAACGGCAGTTCAGATTTCACGCTTTGCCCTCCACCCAGGAGATGATGGATCAGTTTTCCACCACCCCCAACACCGTAAGTTGGAGGGGGAGGAGGAGGAGGAGGAGGAGGAGGAGGAGGAGGAGGAGGAGGAGGAGGGGGATGAGGAGGGGGATGAGGAGGAGGAGGAGGAGGAGGAGGAGGACCCCCTCCCCTCCAACTTGTGGTGGTGGTGGTGGTGGTGGTGGTGGTGGTGGAAAACAGGCCCATTAAAAGAAGATGCTCGTGCTTCTGTCTTTCTCTTCCTCGAGGGTCTGCGGGCCTATCTCGACCCGGGGTCCCAGGCCCCAAATCCTGGCCATCGCTCGGACGTCCATTCTCTGTGCTTTTTTCGGTTTCGTGCGTGGCTTCTTCGCCAACTGATCAAGGATGCTCCTCGATGGCCCTCGCCGAAAGAAAAATGCACACGTCCGAGCGATGCCAAGGAGGGGGGGGGGGCCGAACCTGGAAGCCGCGGCCGCCGCTTCGCGCTCCGCGATCGGCGGGCCCCGTGGGGCCCACACCAAGGGGCCCTCCAGCGAGAGGCCGCTCTTGCGCCTCTCGTCGAGCGGGGCCGTTCCACAACGGCTCGGGCCGAGAGGCCTGCAGAGCCAGTCGGGCTGGAGCCCGCGAGGGGGCCGGGGCCTGATCCTGGCCGTGCCCCACGTCTCCGGCGATCTGCTCTCTGCGCGGCGGGCGCCTCTCCCGTGATAAGACGGAACCGAGAGGCCTCCTCCTCCTCCTCCTCCTCCTCCTCCTCCTCCTCCTCCTCCTCTTTGTTCCTCCCTCGTCATCTTCCTATTCCTCCCCCGAGTCCCCGAAGGAAAGCACCACAACGGGCAGGGGGACACACAGTCCGATCGCGCGGCCGAGCTCTGGCCACGACTCTCGGCCACACAGGCGCTTCCGAAAGGCAAGAAGCTGCGGTGTTTCGCCGTAGGCGTGTTAGAGAAGAAGAAGAAGACGGAACATACATTAACGACGTAAACATATTTGTTTGGTGCTCCGCGCGGATTTCTTGGATCTCGCTGGACCCCATTCCCTGGCGCGCGGAGCGCGCAACGGGAGACGCTGGAGGCGTCGCAAGGGGGGTCCCAGCGCAGATCCAAGCAATCCGCTCGGAGCGCCAAAAGTTGATATTTATGGCGTTTTTCTTCTTCTTCGATAGATACGAAAGCATGGGGAATAAATCTGATGAGGACGAATCAAACATGTCTGAGAGCCAACGGATATGGGGGGATGCATCCATCGGGCACCGCGGCCGTTCCAGAGCGCTCCAGAACGCAAAGAGGGAATGCTCCAGAACGTTCTGGAGCGACTTATCCTCGAGGGCCTGCCAGAGAATCGCAGCGGGGGAGCGGATCAGCTAGATACTTTTAGCGTCGGTGGCTAGGCAGAGGGTGACTGCGCTGGCGATGAATGGCGTGAGCGGGGGTACTCTGGGGCCGAATTGTGCCACCATGCAGGAGGAGGGAGGAGGGACGCGGCCGAAGGAAAACAAGGACGGGGCGGGCGGCTCAGGGTTCAGAACGCTCCCCGAGCATGGCGCAGCAAAGCGGATCAGCGAAACACATGCAACTGGACTTCCTGGCGCCTCCTGGCGATGGACACGCTTTGCAAGCATGCTAAGTCTCCGGCACATCGATACATGCTGAGCTCGGGCCGGCCTGTAGCAGAGCTCGGTGGAGAAGCACTGCCCAGACATGTGCTTTCTGAGAGCTTATGCGCGGGAACTGCAATTACGGCAGGCTCGTATCGTGCCGACTGCGGCGTTGGTTTCTGACACCGCGTGGATCATTCAACCTTTCACGATCGGAGGCTTTTTGATCGCCTGATCGTTCCGTCCTGGCCGATTCAAGACCACTGGCGGCGTTCAGCCTTGAACGCCGGCGGCGGGGTGGGGCCGAAGCCAGCTGCGTGCGGCAAACCTCGTACCCCCATCTAGAGGCCTCTCAATTGGGGTTCGAGTAGATCGGGTCGAATGATCGCGCCGCATCAACGATACATCGGCGATGCACCGGCGACGTCGACGTGAAAATCAGGCTCTGCATCGAGCCACGTCGCCGATGCATCGGCGATGTGGCGCGATCCTCCGACCCCTTCTTCTTGGACCCCAGCTGGGAGGCCTAGACAACCCCTTTCTCCCCATCCTCCCCCCCCTGGCACGCCCGAAAGGGGTACAGAGAAAATGATCACGATACCCACCGACAGCTAGTGTCCAAGATCGACAAGCGGGCGCTGCTGGGCAGGCGACGTTTTTTGTCTCAAATGCACAGTGTCCGCCGCGACGCCGACAGCGATCCCTGCTCCAAACGGGCAGGAATGCTGCTGGTCATCGCCTCCATTCTCTCCGTACCCACTTCCATCGTACTGACACCCTTCCGTCTGACCCGAACCTCCAGGCCGTGCCCAGACAGGGCGAGGATCGCGTTCCTGGCCCTGCATATCCTCTCGCGCAGGTCCTGGCCGACCTGCTCGTAACGCACGTCCATCTGCGAGAAGTTGATGGTCTCCTGGCGCCCAGAGGCACCCTCGGCCACCCTTGGCGGCATGCAGACCCAGACCCAACCGTTGTTTCCCAGAACGACCATCACGCCGGTCTGGCCCAGGGTGATGATGTGCTGCGCTTGTCGCCGCACGTACACCGAAGGCAACGTCGCCAGCACGCCGTTCTGCAGCTTGCCGTACCTCGCCGACCGGGCCTGCAGGGACAGCTCGCCCGCCTCGTTCACCTTCTGGATCTCGGCCGAGATCAGGTCGCCCTCCACGAAGAAGTCCCGCATCCGGTGCGCGTCCTCGTCGGTGCGCCGGCGCTGGACGTTGTCCGGCAGCGGGATGGAGCCGAGGTGCAGGTGCGCCAGCATGGACGTGCCGACCTCCACGGCCCAGCGGTCCGTCTGCACCTCCACGATGCGGCCCACCACCACGTCGCCGACGTTCCCGGCGTAGCGGTGCTTCAGGGGCCGCACGTACAGCAGCTTGTTCACGTGCTCCACCACGCCGCAGAGCGTGGCGACGAGCTTGCCGTCCTCTCGCTCCACCACGCCTTTGCCCTTCAGCGTCCCCGGCTCGGCCGTCACGACGTCGCCCGGGACGACAATCTGCGGCCTCAGGCCGGCCACCTCGCGGGAGGCGGGCACAGATGTACACGCCGGTCGGAAGCGGCACGAGGGGCCATGAAGCAGGCAGGCGGATCGAGCAGGTCGGGCCCAGGCCCTCCCGCAGAAGGACAGAACACGGACAGAGCACATCGATGCTCGAAGCAGGCAGGCGCTCGAAGCAGATCTGGACCTGGGAGCCCCGAGGAAGGCCTGCCGTCAGCGACCCGTGCGTGCAGGGATATCGGGCGATGGGGCGGAGCGGCCTCCCTCCGGAGAGGCGTGGGGAGCGCTCTGGTCCGAGCTGGGCCCCCTCGCCGGCGGGACGGCAGGGTGGGGCAGAGGGACAGGAAGCCCAGGGTTCGCCAGGGGCTGGCTCCCTCCCCCCCCCAAAGGGCGACCCCCCCCTCCCAAAACCCTTCCGAAACCCTGCGAAAAGCCTCCTGGAACCCTTCCGGGAGGGCTTTCGGAGGGTGTCGGGAGGGTTAGAAAGCCCAGGGCTCGCCAGGGACTGGTTCCCCCCCCCCAAACGGCGAACGAACGAACGAGCGAACGCCAGATCCGTGCGCACGCCGCGTGGGCGCCCGCACGCGCCCGTTTGGGCGTGGCGGTGGAGGCCGTGGCCTCGATGCGGAAAAACATTTAGTGTGTCTGAGGAACATGCAAGGCGAGATGCGCAAACAAGTTAGGAGAGGAGTGAGGGGGGAAAGATCATTGTAGTCGGTGTCGGCGCAGAGCTCGGTATGCTTGCGTCCAGGAGCCCTTCCCAAACCTTCCAGGAGGGTTTTTGGAGGGTTTCGGGAAGGTTTCGGCTGTTTTGGAAGGAAACCAGTCCCTAGCGAACCTGGAATTTCTAAGCATAGGGGCAGAGGTGGGGCACAGGAGCTCCTCTGCGAACTGCCTCTGGACC